TTTGCCTTTGATTTCACATGCTCAATCTAGTCCTCAGCCTCCATCGTCAATGTCTTTGAATTTCAGTTTAGATGACAATCATTCAATGCCTACTGGGGACATTGCGCTTGTCAATCATGTAAACATTGTTTCATTGATATCTGAATCTAGTCCCCAGCCTCCGTGGTCGATGTTTTTGAATTTTAGTTCAGATGACAATAATTCAATGCCTACTGAGAATAATGTAGCGGCCAATGAAGAGAATACTGTCTCATTTATTGATAAATATCAGCTTCTAGTTCATTCTCCATCTGCTTTTCAACCCGCACCTGCATCTACTACTTCCACCTCATCATCAATGTCGTTTAGTATGGATGGGACAAGTTATGATTCAGAAGACACTGATTATTCCAGTGGCACTCATCCAGTGACATCTGATGAAGTCTTGTATATGTCCCCAGATTTTGAGATCTTATCCCATTTCCACCCCACTACAATAGTTGTTGATGCAATATATGAGAGCAAGGAAGTGTTGGATTACCACTTAAAAATGTTGGCTATTAGCAACTATTTTCAATATAGAACGAGGAAATCCACAAAGAAAGTTTTACATGTTGTATGTGTAGATAGTTGATAAGTCTTCAAATGTCATATTTTATTCCTTCATATTAGCCCGTTTTAGTACAATCCAAATGCATTTTATACACATTTAATCACTATTATGTTTACATAGCAATTTAGGCCATTATTTGTATTTTATTCATAAAATGCATTCTTTGGTTTATTCTTTTACTTCACTATTTTTATTATCTCATTTACCTTGACGTAGGTTTTAAAAATCGTTTTACGGAGCATTAAAGGGCTCGGTGATCCCGGGGGCTGTCAAGAATTAGATGAAGAAGCTAAAAGGGCCAAGTCACCTGGGACTTGACCCATAATCCATTACGCAGCCCAGTCCAGAGACGCCCAAGAAAAACGAATAAAGAAGTCATCCAAATGAAGCAATGTAGCCAGGACCTGCGTATGCCTTCGTTTGTACCTGCGGCAGCCCAATTCAGTGCTGCATCCAGAAATCCTAGCGGATAAACGATCCCCAGAGTCCAAACGAAGCCAAAGGTCTAGAGTACTTCTTCGTTTTAATCTGCAGTGACGAAGCACTGAAGACTCCTACTTCGATTCTACCTGTGCAAGTACGTAGAAGACTTGGACTCAGATTTTGAGTCCTAATTGAAGACAGGAAGCTGATTTCCAGCCCCTATAAAACGCATCAGCGAAGGAAGAGACGAGGAGGGACGAGAGAGCACTGAGCGACAGAGCAGCAGAGAGGGGTACGACCCTAAGGGGGTCTGGACTTCGGTCCAGATCCTCCTATTCTTTCTTCTTTATGTTTTACCTTTGTTGTTTCTTTCAACAATTGCTATTCAAGACTTCCAGCAACTTTTTGTCTACTCAAATTTGGCATGTTCTAGTTTTTTCTTCCCTAGTTGGAAAATTGTTATCAAGATTTATTTGTTTTGGGTTGAACATCTGCCCTGCACTCATTTTATTCAAGAGTACTAGTTTCAATGTTGTTCTTAAATTGTCCAATTTGTGTTACTTCAATCACATATTTTAATAATTTATGAATGGATTGAAACTAAGAGTTTTGAATGATTCTGGTGGTGGTTATGTCTAACCTATTTAGCTTGTTGTGTTTGTTTAGTACGTATATATGTTCTTCTTGTTCATTTCTGGATTGCTTAGATTAACTAGCCTCTGAAATAATTGAACCTCTCTTATCAAAGACATATTCAGTAGCCCAATTGAATGCTCGGTCCAAGGATTCTTGACGGAGTAATGTGCTTTGGGAGATGTTCTAAGCCTTAGTGCTAGCGGTTGGTTTGAACTCAAAAATGGTGTTTGAAAACTGATTTTGTTTATGCTTGGATTAGACGAATTTAGGATGGCCACCTAAAATCTAATTCCAAATTGATAGTTTTGATGTCTTAAGTACGTTAATAGCTAAGATTTTCAAAACACAAGTGTCACCCGATTAATACTTAATTGGCTCCCATCCGGTTTTTATTAATTGGAGTTTTCAAACTGGCTATGTTAAATAGATATAGTCTACTGCATACTTGTTAAGTGATGTTTTCCAAAGAACTTAATGCTCTATTTTTAATTAAACCTGGGGGCAGGTCCTTGGGTTGTTAAGAATAGTAGGGTCTAGAGTTAGGGCAGGACTTAACATAGGCTATACTAGGGAGAATAGGGAAGAACCGCAGGTGGATTTCTTCTTCAACTTAACCCAAGAGTTTTGTCAATCATTTTAATTTGGAGTAGTCTTAGTTAATTTGAGAATCTGGATTTGATCAATTTGTTTTCCAAAACTATAAAGTATTTTTAAAAATCAGTTTAAGTTAATTACTATCATTGGAGTATTTATAAAGTTTAAGTGTTTGTCTTTGTGTCGGTGTGTTCCTCATGTGTCTCCTTTCAAGGTTCAAGTTGATGCTCTGGTTGTGTTTTCTTTGCCCATTTTATCCTTTCTATTTATCTTTATCTTTCCAATTTATCTTTTAAACCCCCCCCAAATAGTTAGTTCTTTTATTAGTTGTTTTTTTTAAAATGGAAAAAAAACGTAAAACTTAAGTAAGTGATTTTCAAAACTAAAGAATATCTTTCTCCGTGGGATCGACTCTTACTTACCCTAGCTATAAAATATAAGTTTTAAATTTAAAAAGGGATAAGGAAAAAGAATTAATTTGTAGGCACTACGACACGCCTAACAAATTTTGGCGCCGTTGCCGGGGAAGGATTACTTTTTTTTAATGAGAACCAATTTGCTTGAGTATTTAAAAAAAAAATCAGCCCTTTTTGCAGCACTTAATCAAGTCATAAAGATAAGTTTTAAGAATTCTAATACCGTTCTTGTTTCAAGTTGCAGCTTTGTGTACTTTGCATGTTGTTAAGGAGTGGAAGAGTTATTGGAGAAACAATTGAGCTAGGTTACAATCACCAGGTAAGTGTGGCTGGACTTGACTCTTTTAATTTCCAAACATGTGAAGCTGTGCTTGAGTCTGGTTGTGAAGTTTCCAACGTGTTTGTTGCTGAGTCTGAATCTGATTTTGAGACAATATTTGGAAACCTTTTTTAAGTCAAAACTGAACAAAAAATGGCTACTTTGAAAGAACTTGATGCCCCTGATTTAAATGTTCAACCTTTGGCTATTACTTACACTGAATTGGAAAAACCTTTAAAGCTGAATTCTGGGTTTATAAATCTTCTGCCTAAGTTTCATGGTCTTCCTGGAGAGGATCCTTTCAGACACATCTCTGAATTTCTGATTACATGCGGTGCTATGGTGCCTGAAGGGGTCGCTCAAGACCAAATTAGGTTGAGAGCTTTTCCTTTTTCCTTATGTGATAAAGCTAAAGATTGGTTATATTATATGCCTGCTGGTTCTTTTACAACATGGAATGCTTTACATAAGGCTTTCTTAGAGAAATACTTCCCAGCCTCTAGGATAGGGTCTATTAGGAAGGATATCTGTGGGGTTGATTTGCAGTATAGAACGGGCAAAAATAACAACTAAAAAGAATCCCTTGTAAGTAGGATGTCGAACCTCAGGGAGATGTGAGTTAATTTAATTTAAACAAAATATTTTACAACTTCTTTTGTAAACTTTTGTTTAAATTAAATTAACTCACGTCTCCCTGAGGTTCGACATCCTACTTACAAGGGATTCTTTTTAGTTGTTATTTTTGCCCGTTCTATACTGCAAATCAACTTGGCGCCGTTGCCGGGGAAACGGTTTGAGTTTTTTTTAAACATAAGTTTTATTGTTTATTTGTTGTAAATATTTGTTATTGTTTTGTTTCCCTAACCTCTTCCTGCAGGTACTACAAAAACAAAACAAAAACAAAAACAAAACAACTAAAAAAAACTGAAAAAAAAAATTTCCTTTAAGTTCCTTTACTCTTGGACACTTATTGAACTTGGACATATTGATTTGGACATATTGAACATACCTGGACATATTGAACTATCCCACAGGTCGGATTTTCCGCCAACGGTGATTGGACATTTTTTTTTCTTCTTTCTTTATTTTGCCCGCTGACCGGCAAAGCCGTCACAGGGTTTGTACATTTAATTACTGCACTTTACATTTCTGCATTTTTTTTCTTTCTTTCCAGGCGTGCAAAGCCTCTATTGGACATTATATCTATATACTATATATTATATATTATATATACTATATATATTATACATATTATATTTATATATTATATATATTACATATTATATATCTATATATTATTACTAACTCTTTTTATTTTTTTTAGTGTCTTTGTTGGTTCATTACCACTTGGCACTCTAACTGCTAACTACTAACTAAGGTATCACTTGTCTCGGTGGTTTTTACCTCTTGACTTAAGTGAGAGCCTTTTTATTAAATATTGTACATTACATTTTTTTTCTTTTCCTTCCCCCCTTTCCCTTCTCTTTTCCTTTTATTTTTTTTCCCTTTTATTTTCATTCTATTCCATTCTCCCTCTTCTCTCTCTAACCCTCCCCAATCCCTTTCTTTTTATGCTAACTCGTTCCCGTGGGAAAAATCAAGAAAAATTTTTCTTTCCAGAAATTGAAAAATATTTGAAAGAAATAAGAAAAATAAAGAAAATGGAAGTCCCACGGAACAATGTTCTTGAAAATGTGCAGGGAATTCAGAGAAGACAAAATGAAGTTCCGAACAGGAGGACTCTTTCTGACTATGTCACTCCTCCTGTGGCGGAACACAACAGNTATTCCACCGGATGTCACAGCAAACAACTTTGAAATCAAACCTGCTGTCATCCACATGGTCTCATCTGATCAGTTTGGTGGAGGACCAACGGAGGACCCACACAACCATATCACCAAATTCCTCCGAGCGTGCAATACGTTCAAAATCAATGGTGTGCCAACTGATGCAATCAGGCTCCGTCTGTTCCCGTTCTCTCTAAGGGACAAAGCTCAAAGCTGGCTGGATTCATTTCCAGACAATCACTTCACAACTTGGGACCAGCTTCACGGTGAATTTCTAAAGCGATTCTTTCCGCCTTCCAAAACCGCAAAGATCAGGAGAATGATCCAAAATTTCAAGAAAAATCCAAACGAGCCCCTTTACGAGGCTTGGGAAAGATTCAAAGATCTCCAAAGGCAATGCCCACATCACAATATCCAAAGCTGGCACTTAATGACGGCTTTCTATGAAGGCCTGAATGAAAACTCACGGATATTGTTGGATGCCTCGGCGGGTGGATCATTCATGAGCCTTGAACTTGACGAAGCTGAAGAACTCATTGAGCGGATTTCAACAAACGGATCTACCTGGTACTCTGACCGTCCATCCACTCAACCAAAAATTGGAGGCATGTACGAAGTTGATCAAATGTCGGCCATGGCTGCTAAGGTCGATAACATGATGAGCATGATCCAAAAGATTGCTCAAGTCTCTGTTGTGCAAAACACTACGCCAGCACCGCCTCATGTTCCTGTTCTCATGTGTGTATCCTGTGGTGGACAACAAGATCAATCTTCATGTCCATGGGATGCAATGGAGCAAGTTGATTATGAAAACTACAACCGGCCGCAACAACAAAATCCATTTGGTGGATTTAGTTCTCAAAACAGAAATCATCCTGGTTTCTCTTGGAGCAATCCAAGTGGAGCTGCCAATCCACCAGCTTATCAAAGTTCACCACCCGGCTTTCAAAATAAACAACAACAACAATTTAGAGGTGGCCAAGGTTTTGCTAACAATCAACAATTTAAGCAAAACCAAAGCTTCCCATATGTTCCCAATCAACAAAAGCCGATCCTGCCAACTCCTGAAACACCATCGGTTCCCGGCTTGGATAGCATTGTTGATCAACTCCTTAAATCTCAACTAGCCCAGGCTGAAGCCTTGAAGAAGATTTCTGAAGAGCTCACTCAACTTCGAGCTCATAATAGGATGCTTGAAAATCAAATCTCTAGTCAAGCATCAACATCATCAACAAAGGTGACCGGGAAATTGCCAGCTTGTCCCGAGAATCCAAGAGAGCAAATGAATGCTATCACTACTCGGAGTGGGAAACAACTTCAATCTCCATCTCTTCTGAGTAGTGATCCCGAAGAAAAAAGAGGAGAGGATGCCAAAGAAGAAGCTTAGAACAAAGTCAAAGGAGATGCTGCTGAAATGCTGCCGGAGTCAATCCAGATCAAAGAAGGAAAGAAAAAAGAAGAAGAAGGTTTGGTAAGGAAATATACTCCACTAATTCCTTTTCCAAACCGACTCAAGAAATCACATATTGAGGAACGAAGAACCAAGTTCTTGAACCGTATCAAGCAATTGGATATCTCTATTCCTTTGCTTGATGCCATCACCGAAATTCCTTTATATGCCAAATTTCTTAAGGAGATCTTAACAAAGAAGAAGGAAAATCCTCTCACGGTGGCTATGAGTCAAGAGTGCAGTGCCATTATCCAAAATAAGATCACACCAAAACTACGTGATCCTGGAAGTTTCTCAATTCCATGCTACATTGGAGGATCTAAAGTAAACAAAGCTCTTTGTGATCTTGGTGCAAGTGTTAGCTAGATTCCATACTCTCTGTGTCAAAAGCTACACTTGGGTGATCCAAAACCGACAACCATGGCGCTACAATTGGCTGATCGCTCTGTCAAATACCCAATCGGCATTCTTGAAGATGTTCCTGTGAAGATCGATAAATACTATATTCCAGGAGACTTTGTTGTCTTGGATATGGAAGAAGATGCCCGAGTTCTTATCATTCTCGGGAGACCATTTCTAGCCACTGCTGGAGCAATCATAAATGTGAAGAAGGGTACACTCATCCTTGAAATCGGGGATGACAAGATTGAGTTCAATGTGCAAGAGCTGAGTAAGAATGCTGCATGCGTTCTTGATTGTTTCAACGTGGATATCATTGATTCATGTATTCTTGGAACTCTTGAGGAATCTCATTTACTCTCAAGAGATCCAATGGAGTACACCATATGCCAATCTGTTAAAGAGAAACAATCAAATGAGATGGTGAACTCATGCATGGAGATTTTAGATCATCTCTCCGAACCAATGGAGGGACCAGAAAAATTTGAAGTCCTTAATCTTGATGAGGAACCTATGCCCAAAATTGACGAAGTACCTAAAGTAGAGCTCAAACCTCTTCCCTCTACTTTACGGTATGCTTTTCTTGGGCCTGATTCTACTTTTCCGGTGATCATCAACTCCTCCCTAAATGCCAAACAAGAGGAGAAGCTGCTTAAAGTCCTTAGGGAACACCGGAGGATAATTGGTTACACCATTGACGATATTGTCGGAATCAGTCCTTCATATTGCATGCACCGCATCTATCTTGAAGAGGAACATAAACCAAGCATTGAGCACCAACGACGTCTTAATCCAAACATGAAAGACGTTGTCAAGAAAGAAGTGCTAAAGTTGTTGAGAGCGAGAATCATTTATCCCATTTCAGATAGCAAATGGGTTAGCCCTATTCATGTGGTTCCGAAGAAGGGAGGAATTACTGTTGTTAAAAACGAAAACAATGAACTTATTCCTACCCGAATGGTTACTGGATGGCGCATGTGCACTGATTACCGAAAGTTAAACAAAGCCACTCGGAAGGATCATTTTCCTCTCCCGTTCATTGATCAGCTACTGGAAAGAATGGCCACACATTCCTATTTCTGTTTTCTAGATGGCTTCTCAGGATTCTTTCAAATCCCGATTCATCCTCATGATCAAGAAATGACGACATTTACATGTCCTTATGGCACATTTGCATATCGAAGAATGCCATTTGGATTATGTAATGCACCTGCGACTTTTCAAAGGTGTATGATTGCTATTTTCTCAGAATACATCGAGGAGATCATGGAGGTATTCATGGATGATTTCTCTGTCTATGGGAATTCATTTGAAGATTGTCTAATGAATTTAGACAAAGTGCTGAGCAGATGCGAAGAAGCCAATCTTGTACTAATTGGGAGAAATGCCATTTCATGGCAACAGAAGGAATTGTACTTGGCCACAAAATCTCTGAAAGTGGTATTGAAGTTGATCCAGCAAAGATTGAAGTCATTGAAAAGTTGCCACCACCGAATTCTGTAAAAGGAATTCGGAGTTTTCTCGGTCATGCTGGATTCTACCGCCGTTTCATCAAAGATTTCTCTAAAATCTCAAAACCCTTGACAAATCTACTATCTAAGGATGTAGATTTTAATTTTGATGCTGATTGTCAAGAAGCTTTTTCTAAGCTGAAGATGGCCTTAACAACTGCTCCAATTATAAGGCCACCCGACTGGAACTTACCATTCGAAATCATGTGTGATGCAAGTGATTATGCAGTCGGAGCTGTTCTAGGCCAACGCAAGGGGAGAGAAGTCTATGCCATATACTACGCAAGTCATACTCTTGATGATGCACAACTCAATTATGCAACAACTGAAAAAGAGTTTCTTGCGGTAGTCTTTGCCATTGAGAAGTTCCGATCATATCTCATCGGAAGCAAAATTATTGTGTACAATGATCATGCTGCTATCAAATACCTCATGGCAAAGAAAGACTCCAAACCAAGGCTCCTAAGATGGATTCTTTTACTACAAGAATTTGATATGGAGATCAAAGACCGAAAGGGGTCGGAAAATGTGGTTGCTGACCACTTATCAAGGTTGGAAATTTCCTAAGCAAAAACTATGCCAATCAATGATTACTTCATCGGAGAACAACTTATGCTGGCTAAAAGCATTGATCCATGGTTCGCTGACATAGCAAATTATCTTTCAAATGGAATAGTTCCAACCGGAGCAACTCATGCAGAAAAGAAGAAGTTGCAATATGACTCTCGAAATTACATCTGGGAGGAACCATTCCTCTATAAAATTTGTGCTGATGGAGTCATACGAAGATGTTTGCCCGAGGATGAAGTTACAAATGTCTTACATCATTGCCATTCTTCCGCCTACGGAGGACACCATGGTAGCTCCCGCACAGCAGCAAAGGTGTTACAATCTGGTTTCTTTTGGCCTACTCTTTTCAAAGATGCCAACACCTTTGTTAAAAGTTGCGACAGTTGTCAACGCACTGGAAACATCGGGAGGAGAAATGAAATGCCTCAAAGGGGCATTCTTGAAGTTGAAGTATTTGATGTATGGGGCCTTGATTTCATGGGCCCATTTCCAAAGTCAAATGGAAAGGAATTCATCCTCGTGGCTGTGGATTATGTATCAAAATGGGTTGAAGCAATTGTCACATCCACAAATGATTCAAAAGCGGTGATCAAATTTATTCGAGAGAACATTTTCTCTCGATTTGGAGTCCCAAGAGCAATCATCACCGACAATGGAACCCATTTTTGCAATAGAGCATTGGGACGAGTTCTTGCAAAGTACGGGGTTCATCACCGACTCTCTACCCCGTACCACCCGCAAACAAATGGCCAAGTCGAGCTTTCAAACAGAGAAATCAAAAGTATCCTTGAGAAGGTTGTTAATCCTTCAAGAAAGGATTGGTCTGACAAGCTTGATGATTCATTATGGGCATACCGTACGGCTTTCAAAAATCCCATTGGCACCTCCCCGTATCATCTTGTATATGGGAAGGCATGTCATCTTCCTGTTGAGCTGGAACACAGAGCATTTTGGGCTGTTAAAAATCTCAACATGGATCTCTCATTGGCGGGTGAAAAAGAATGTTGCAGTTGAATGAGCTCGAGGAGTTCAGACTCGCAGCTTATGAAAATTCCAAAATCTACAAGGAGCGAACCAAACAACTGCATGACAAGGTAATCTCTAAACGAGATTTCGCACGAGGAGACCAGGTACTTCTTTATAACTCTCGCTTTAAATTATTCCCTGGTAAGCTGAGGACCCGGTGGTCCGGACCATTCGAGGTAGTGGAAGCATTTCCCTCCGGAGCTGTGCAACTTTGTGGCAAAGATAACGCCAAATTCATTGTAAATGGGCAACGTTTGAAGCGTTATCTTGCCAACGATCACCAAGAGGGAATGTTACTCTATTTCCTCGAAATTCCTGAATATAAGTGATTGCATTGGTCAAGCTAATGACCATAAATAAGCGCTTCTTAGGAGGCAACCCACATTTTCAAATTCTGCATTTTTTTTTGTTTTAATAAGGTAATTGGATTTCAATAAGGCGTTTTCCAATTCACGCCATGTAAAAAAAATCAATTTACCAATTTTATTATTTTAGGAATTGTTTACTTTGTAACACCCTAATCCGTCCAGGTCTGCAGCCCCTTTCGGACTAAAGTATTAACTTGGTAATCGTAAAATTTAAAACTTTTCAAACACTTTTATTTATCACGATAATATTTTTCATAACATATACAGTGCGGAGTTTTCAATATTGCGGAAGCTTAACAAATCATAATTACAAACATAATTTATTTATGTTCTTTAATTCAAAACCATCACATCCATTCCGACAATCTCGCCTCCGTCTGCCTCCAGAATCACGTCACATCATTCTTTCTATTAACCTGCGTGTAGCAAATAAAACATACTACACGCTCAGCGGTGAAGCCGAGTAAGCATATCTAAAGCGTCGAACATCCATATAAATTGAACCCAAATTCATAATCAAATCATTTGATATCATGCACAAAGTATTCAGTTCAAATATACAATAATCAATATTCAACAT